TACTTCCTCTAGCAAGGACATTTCCTCATCAAACGTTGTTGCAAACACTATGACATCATCCAGGTACAGCTATCCTCCATTGTAAACCTTCCAGTACTCTTTCCATCAGCCTCTCAAATGCTAAGCCCGAATGCCATCACACAGTATTGTCACAGATCTTGGTCATAACTAAATGCAGTTTTAGGTTTATCTGCTTTAGCCATTTGTACTTCATGGAAACTCGACTTGAAGTCCAGAGTTGAAAACCACCTGGCTCCACTTAGGGCAACAAGCCATACATGTCTTTCTCCATCTCTCGTCGCTTTGCCAGAGCTATTCTCCTTGGAGGGATCTTTATTGGATGGTGATTGCCTATGTTTATTCTGTGCTCCACGAGGTCTGTGCAGCCGAGGTCATGACCTCCATTTGAAAAGACGTCTGCATAATTCGCCAAATGTTCCCTAACCTGAAGAGCCTGTGATGATGACAAATGAACTATGCTTTTCTTATAGAGGTCAGTTAAATGTTCTGGGAGAGGATGTCCTTTCTTTATGGTTGTGTTTCTTGCCTTAACATTGACTGCTCTACCTCCTGGCACACACCCAACAATGCCCCTTTCTTAAGTGTCTGTTCACATTTAGAGAAATTAGCCACTGTTATAGGTACTATTGGATGACCTGCCACAAGTGACCTTCCAATCTTCACATCCGCTGGCCTGGATGGGTCTTCCACTGCTTCCACAAGCATCGGATTTCCTTGGGGATGTTCTTTTATTTTACCCCAAATTATATTATCTGACATAGGTGGTATTGTAGTTGACGTAAGTGCTGTGACATACAAATCAACAGAAGCAGCAACACTTACCGGAATTTGACCTTTGTTGTTCCCAAACGTCATTTTATCAAAATTAACGACACTCTTCCTACGTAGTAAGCAGTCCAACTCTAATATGCATGGGTCTTCAATGTCAGCCAAGTATACTTTGTGTCTGCCATGTACCAATGAGCTCAATAGTTACCCACACTGGTCCTCACAGCCTTGCATAATGTCCTGTCACACCACAGAGCTTCTGTAACTCCTTTGTAATCTAGCACCTTGATACTCACAAGGGTTTGCTGAGATGCAGAATCTCTGACAAAGTTGCACTTATAGCCATCCAGCTTTTCTGTCACGTAGACACTATGTGTGCTTGACATTTTACACTTAGCTGTTGGGACTTTCACAATGGGGGTTGGTGGGCGTCCCTCAGCACCAACCACTACTGGTTTCCCGAAGCTGACTTATTGGTAGTATTCTTCTTACACTGGCTTCTCATATGTACTTGCTCTCTACAGTTCCAACAACCTTTCTGGATAGCAGCCTTTCCTGCCATGGCATCTTCCCTGTGTTGAAGTTGCCGGCATTGAGCTCTCTTGTGCCCAGGTTTGTTACAGTACCAACAAACTTCTCTGAGAGCTGGCTTTGAATCCTGATGCCAGCTCTTGCAGGCTCTCCCCTTTAGCACGGACTCTAGTCCTAAACCTACCCCTGTAGACTTCAGACTGATTTTGAGTTCCATACCTGAGTTCTAGAGCAGCTACCAATGCTCTATTGTTGTGCCTGTCATCTGTTGACAACTGTCCAAGTATTTCCAGTGATTGTCCCTTCAAGCTCGTTGCCAGGTACACTGCTTTCTATTCCTCTGTCCATCCATTCATTTCTGCCAGGAGCTCCAATTGTGCTCTATATGCTTCCCATGGTACCTTCCCATCGAATTCATGTGGCTTCCTTCGTACTGGATCACCCCTATTGCTGAGATTCATATCTGAGATGTGACCTCTAACAGGACTGAAAATGTCTGCATTAGGGTTTAGCTGCGGGGTCTGGAAGGGGCTTGCCGTTGTCTGGGTCTGATTAAGTCGATGGTTAATGTATCCTCCTTGTGTGAAAGACAATAAATCATCTTTTAATGTATTTAATTCTCTTTTCCATTTGTACTTCTTGTTTCCTTTTTTGTTCCAGTTGCCACTGCTGTAGTCTCTCTCTTCTTGTTTATTTTCTCGTTCTTCTTGTTTCTTTTATTTTTCCTCCAACAACTGCTGTAATCTCTCTTCTTGTTTCTTTTTTCGTTCTTCTTGATTATTTTCTTTTTTCTCCAACAACTGCTGTAATCTTTCTTCTTGTTTATTTTGCTGTTCGAGCTGCCACTGTTGCAGGTTTTCTTGCAACTGCTGTTGTCTCTTTTCTTGTTTCTTTTCTTTTCCTCCAACAACTACTGTAATTTCTCTTCTTGTTTATTTTGTTGTTCAAGCTGCCACTGTTGCATGTTTTCTTACAACTGCTGTTGTCTCTCTTCCTGTTTCTTTTCTCGTTCTTCTTGTTTATTTTCTTTTTCCTCCAACAACTGCTGTAATTTCTCTTCTTGTTTTTTTTCTTTTCCCTCCAACAACTGCTGTAATCTCTCTTCTTGTTTCTTTTCTCATTCTTCTTGTTTATTTTGCTGTTCTTGTATTGCTGCCATCAAATCTGCTAAGCTGTAGTTTGATTTGCCGCTTCTCGTTTCAATTTTTTTCCGTCCCACTCTCTGACACCAATTTGTCATGTCTCCGTTCGTTAGTTAATTTTCCGTAAATTCGTTCCGACGAAACTTTAGCGACACAAGTCGTTTCTTAAATAAAACTGGTTTATTCTTTCTGAATATAACTTTGCGATACACTTAATTTCAACAGTCGTGCTATAACAAACGCTAGAATTTTCAAGGAACGTCTGACGTGCTCGACTTCAACAATACTCAGTTAAATTACACACACACTGTTCCGTCACGTTGTGACCGTCTTATATATATAAGACTAACACATATCTAGTAAATGCTAGGGCATTCATGAAGGAACAGGATATTTCTAGAAAGAGGTGGCGTGATACAGTATTGATTGTGTTAACTAAAGTCCTAGACAGCGTGGAGCCCTTTTCTAGTTTTGACAGTACATATAACATAACTTGTGAATGTAGTTAACATCTTGACAAATGACAACACCTCTTCATGAACTCTAGTTTAATCCTGTAATTAATTCTCACATGAATTACAAAATCGTACGTTAGCTCGACTTCTATAACAGAATCTACACATTGCCCAATTTCCCATGCTGGGCATAATTTTTAAAGGAACAGATGTTTTATTTAGTAACATTACTGTGAAATTAAAAGCACTGCGTTTTTGTCTGATTTATATAAAGGTTTCATTATTTTCAGCGTTTTTATTTTACAATAACGGATGAATTAGTTCTATTTTAACTTGCTTCTTGTTACAGTAACTGTCAGAGAAGGCATGCTCCTATAAGTTTGCGAGGGAAGTTCCCGAAATGTAAATACTTAACCATTTCGACAGTATCTGCCCGTACTCACTACTTACGTGTATTTGGGCACGTCGCACACACAAATTCAATTCTAAACAAAGGAAGAAATCTCTACCAGTAAGACTCAACGGATACACAAGAACAATGGCCATAATGAATTGTGTTCCAAGGCATTCATCTACTTTCTGTGGGTGTTGCGGGGGTAAATATAATTACATCTGTAGAAAACCGTGATTGTTGTTTTATTTAAAGCATCACTCCATGCATATACATATTTTTGAAGTAATTTTTATCATTGTAAGTAGTACAAAAAAATTAACTGAGCTATTTTTTTAAAGCTAACCGCATAAGTCTGATGATTTGACTGATGTTCGTGAAAAGATATTATTTATTCGTTGGTCGTCATAAATTAAAAGGAGTGATAATTCATTGGATATTCATAATAGTAAACTTCTGTAGATATAATTTGTATTTTAATGTCAAGTCGAAGAAAATGTATTATGTGACTAGGAGACAGGCTTATTGGCTATAACTGTAAAAATAATGTAAAAAGATGTTAAGACTTTTTGTGTATGTTTAGAAACTTTTAGTTTCATAATATTAATGATCTGTATAACAACTTTAAACCAGTAAAAGAAAATTGTATTGAAGTATCAAGGCAAAGAGATTATGTTTGAATTGAGACTGGGCCCCCATGGCGTGTTTAAACCTATGGCAAGATGAATTACCGTATATAAGCATAAGCAAAGATAGAATCATCGTATTTGGCAAAACGCCAAACTGTTTTGAATTTAAGCGTCACAAGTATGTATACACAGGACTGGCCAGTAATGATAAACTACAATTATACGTAGGTGACAGCAGTCTTGAAAAGTGGTGACGAATGAGAACATATTGTATCTTGCGTATAGTGATGGAAGGGCATACTTAAATACGTGCGTAATATATATATATATATACAGTGTTTTTCAGGTTATTTGGATTCCAACTTGGTCTTCTGAACTTCTGAAGCATTCGTTTTTTTTTGGTTTTTTTTTACGTTTAATAGTTAGATTCCAAAAAAGCTTAAACTAGCCTTAGACTGAAGGTTATTATTATTGTTTCAGAAATTATTCAAAAATATTTCAAGATAACTTGGCTTTCTTGTGATTTTCTCTTTTATTTTTATTTTTGAAGTTGTAATTATATATCAAATACAGACCTGATATAAGTATTGGGGACATTTGTGATTCATTATTGCTTTAATACCAAAGCATTATTTGTCGTTGTGTGTTTCAGGTAATATCTAAGTGGATATAATAAGTTATCGCCCTATTTTGTTTATTCTGAAGAATTTACACTACAACGGAAATTTTAAGGACTTGGTCGATGTAAAATATGTCTGAAGCGAAGTAGATAACTGTAATTTTACTGAGCAAATGAAACAAATTTAAAATGATATTGTAATTTTACGGAAAATTTCGGCCCTTCATGGTGTTGTGATAGACGTGGTTACAAAATAATAATGATAATTAAATCAAATATCTCAATGTAATAAATATATGTGAGTTAGCAGAAAACAAAACGTTGGAAGTCATGCTATTTGAAACACTTTGTTTCAAAAGTTATTAAATATTGAATTATATAGTGTTAAATTCACAGTATTTTCATATCAAATTCAGATTTTGAATAACACAAAAGCCTCCTGGTGCTCAGCACTTAGCTTGAGGGCTTATAACGCTAAATATTGTGGTTAGATAGATACTTGCTATGGACACAGCGGGTGTTTGATTTATAGCATACAAACGGAAATTGCAAAAATTATCATATACAAAATGTTGTCAATGTAAAATCAGTGCGTTGGGTGATATGTTAGGAGATTCATTGTTAGTCAGAAATATCAGGTATAAGACACATCAGATACTAACAGAAACAAGTATTTTCGACGGTTAAAAAAGCCATCTTGAAATATAGCTGACTTAGTGTGATATTATCGGGTCTGTTTAAATGGTCTTTAGCCTTACGCTAATGTAACTTTGAATACAGAGTTAATATCCTTCTTAATGACCTGGCGTGAGAGTAGTGTCTAAAGAATGGTCAGTAATTACTCATGTTTCAGATTTATGATTCTGGTTTATCAAATCAGCAAAAAGTCGTGAATTATTTTATAAATATTAAAGATTTAAATGCATCTTTCCATTGTTACAAGTTGTTAAGCCGTACTTTTCAGAACAAGAACAAGCCAGGCGTTGCGTAAAGATTAGCGTGCCCGTGCTATGAATCCGAAGGTTTCACTTTTGCAGCCCATTGCCAAAAAAGCGCGCTTTGCACGTTGGAGTCATGAATACGCCATAAGAGTGATGGTCAAATCCTACTATTCCGTCAGACAAGTATTGATGAATAGTGCTTTTGATATTTTGATTAGCTGCCTACCCTCTAGCGCATCATTTAACAGTTAAGTATTGCTATACACAGGTAGCTCGTTGTGTACCTTTGAGCGAAAATTTTGAAACAATTTGAACTGGAACTTTAGTGTTTAAAACCACTTGTTTATTTTTTAGAAACATTTCTCGAGAAATACTCATTTTATAGTTATATGTTTATAATTACGCATTCCAAAAATTCATTCTTTAAGAAGTTCTGTATGGATTTTATTTTTTACTATTAGTTAGTGCTTTCCACAATATATTAATACGAGAAGAGCTGTAATTCTTTCCACGTTCTCTTCCTTTATTTTTTTCTTCGATTGCCTGCTTTTGATTTTAACTATTTTATAGTGTTGTTCATGAAACCTTTTAAAAGTTAAAAATTGTCTGCTGGTATACGATCCCCTAGTAATTACTGTGGCATGGCTTGCCTTTAAAGACACCATCGGCCTCCTCTCAAGAACGAGAAGACGGGATGTAATTGTATCTGCTGGTGCGTGCATGCCGTTTCTCACCTGCATGACCAAAAGGCAGGTGCAGACAAAGGCTGCAGTGCCCAGTTCTGCAGGTGATTTTGGAGGCCTATTGTGTCACGTGTTAGCAATCTCTCCTTCGAACAAAACACTATGCACAGCTTTTAGCAGGTTGGTAAAATTTGATGGTGAGGAAGCAACTTTATAATCTATTCATTAAAATGCCATCCTATTTACTGCCCCTCTGTAGACCACAATAACACAGGCTGGAAGTCTGTATTTCTTGACTCCCCTCCTGCGTAATGTTCTTGTCTCAGTGCCTCAGCTACAAAAGTAATATTTTTGATTTCTGAATAGGAAAACTTGAACACGTGTAGGAGGCTTTATAGCTCCTCTGAATTCCGAGATCGACCTATTATGATCGCATGAACCAGTTGTGGTATAAGGCTAGTTATTCTGACCAGGAGTGTTATTCTTTTCTCTAGGACCCTGACCATGCTCCGGCATTGCAGGGCGTTGCAGTTATTACTCTTCTCCTTGGTTCTGGCCGAGCTACGAAAGGGGATGATCACTGTTGCTGGTCGAAAGCCACTCGAGTCCGACATTTCTGCAGTGGACAAGTCGCGTCCAATGGAGGTCTTAGAGTTCAGTTTGCTCAAAATGTTCGGATTTAAGTCAAAACCGAAACCAAAAACGAATATTAGAGTTCCAAGTTTCATGATAGATCTTTACAGAAAACAAGCAGCAGAAACATATGAAGACATTTATCAAAAAGGAAAACTGAAGAAATCCGAAAGACCCAATCTGTACAGGACGGTTCGTAGTTATTTCCATCAAGGTAAATCAAATTGTTACTTTGAAGTTTCGGAGGTAAACTCATAGTTTTTATTTCAAATTTGAATTGGTGTCAATTTCAAAGTTAAATTTCTTATGTATGTTCGGGTGGGTTTGTTTTTCTTTCTATTCTTGAAATTGTCAATCGAGGACTTCCTGCATTAGATTCTTTTATTCTGGGAATGAACATTTGCAACAAACGTAGATTTGTGTTAAGACATGTTATATTAATGTCGATTCAAGAACAATGGGTTCGTTTTACACCTTTATAAAATATGTCTCTCTATTATTGTGAGAGTTTATTTATTTATTGTTCTAATACTTGTATGTAGTCATATGCTGTTTACTAATGATACTCATATAATATCAGTTGCTGTTTTGCTGTTAATTAATCGAGTAAATTTCATATGTATGCTTCTCTGTTTATGCACAATCACATATAATAAAACAGCGGTTTTCAAATATTTTATTTTGAAATTAGGTTAAGTCAGTTATCGTCATTGTAACCAAGGGCAGAAAAATGACAGCTACAGACAGAGTAACCAATAATACATTACACTTGATTATTTATTAATAATACTTTTTATGTATTGGACGATCTGGTATAGTAAGTATAGTTGTTCGAAACTGTCTATTGACCTAGAAATATGGTACGTGTGGTCTTCACTTATACCATTAGGGAGGTTTAATATATTGTAATTTATAGCAGTGTAACATGATTCTCGTGAGGCAAGCTCCCCTTGGGTAATTGGAGTAGGTGTGCTCTAGTTTGGAGATAATCGAATAACTTGTTGCTTGCTGAAATCAAACACTCTTATGTAACCCATCAGGATGACTGAAGAAATCCAATCCTGTCCCTACGTCGAACAAATTTCGCTTCCTGCCTTCATTTATTTACGTGACGATTCCCGCACGCGTCGAGAAGGCGGGACTCTAAACCTTCCTTGTTACAGCCTATGATATTAAATTACGAAAAACAACAAAACAAGCCGGTCTTTCTTGAGTAACCTTCTTATCCTCGACATTATCTTCCTTATAAAGAGTTTACAAGTCCGCAAGGAACAAGTATTGAATAACTTGAAACCAATTAAAAGTAATTAATTATGTTTGTAACATTTGGTAAAAAAGAGCAAATTTTGAGGACTAATATTTTTTTGTTATTTAACGAAAGCGTCGAAAAAGAAGTATTTACAAATTCGAAAGTCATTTTCTAGTACGGTATGGTTTCCTCGTGCTGTCAGCAAATGTTTTGAACTATAAAATTTCAGGGTCTTCTCTGATATAGCGAGGGACGATTAAACGGAAACTCACAAGAAATGGTCAAAATACAAATACATTGAAATGCAATTCATGGCACTTAGCATATTCTTTCCCATCTATTCTCGGGATTGTCTATCAATGATAGAATATCTTCATAAATAATACATAACTGGCCATGGGCGTAGGAAATGTCACATTCTTTAAAGCGTACAATTGGCTCCTTTACAAATCAACTTTAAGATTATACAGTACAAAATATAATCTAATACACTGTTGATCGTTTAAACGTGATCATAAAATCCATCTGAATTATCAGATTAAAGTTTTCATCTGTAAAATCCATCCTACGTTACCAGATATTACACACTGTTTTCATCTGTAAAATCCATCCTACGTTACCGGATATTACACACTGTTTTTGTTTTTATCTGTAAAATCCATCTTTGGTTACCAGATACCATATTTTTTCCACGGACATGAATACTTATTGTATAGATGCGTTTTAATTGAGAAAAAGTGTCATTTGTAATTTTATAAAAGCTCAATGCATATAAACAACACTAGTTCGTAATCATAACACACTATAACATGAAATTCCTAAGACAGTTCTATCCATGATGACACATCTATTCCAGTGGTGATAGTTAATGAGGAATAAATCGATGATTTGAGTGCCTAAACCATTTTATGCTATCAAACAGGTGAAACTGTAGAATTCCGTTTTCTTTAAAATACATATATTCTCATACAACAGCTGTTTCCGGTTATTTAGACATGTGTTTATTGTTTGCTTGTTTGTTTTGAATTTCGCGCAAAGCTACACTAGGGCTATCTGTGCTATCCGTCCCTAATTTAGCAGTGTAAGAATAGATGGAAGCCAGCTAGTCATCACCACCCACCGCCAACTCTTGGGGTACTCTTTTACCAATGAATAGTGGGATTGACTGTCACATTATAACGCCTCTGCGGCTGAAAGGGCGAGCATGTTTGGTGGGATGGGGGTTTGAACCCGTGACCCGCAGATTGCAAGTCGAGTGCCCTAACCACCTGGCCATGCCGGGCCTGACATGTGTTTAACAAAATTCTTTAAATTACTGGTATATTTTCTGTTAACCATAAAAAGCCAAGAATTTTTTGCTAAATAGTTCTTGTACGTGTATTTGAAAAGAATAATCAAACAGGTAATAATGATTTTAAGTTCTTTATGTAGATATCTTGAGGTGTATTTGACGAAGTGTGAATTTTAATTAATTACAAATGTTTTCTTTTAGAAACCGGAAGCGAGCATCTGTATGATCGGAACTCTATCAAGTTGAAGTTCAACATTATATCAATACCAGTTACAGAGAAAGTGAAAGAAGCAGAACTTCACGTGTTTAAACGTACTCTTGATGCGAAAACACAACAACAATGTAAGAACCGCCACAAGCAGAGGGTTCGAGTGTTTGACATTGTTCGCCCCGCTACCACTCGTAAAGAAGCCATTTTGAGGTTGATTGACACAAGGACTTTGGATGTGCGACATTTTGGGTGGGAAACATTCGACGTGCATCCTGCCGTAGAGAGGTGGTGGGGAGACTCTACTAAAAACTACGGGTTATATATGGAAGTGACAGCTTTGAATGGTAGTGACAGTAGTTATGAACACGTGCGTTTAAAGCGCTCACTGTACGAAAACGTGGATAGTGAACTGTGGATGAAAGAACAACCATTTCTCGTCACCTACTCGGAGGATGAGGAAGCCCCACGAGCCGCACGCGTTCGACGTGGCAGCCGTAAACACCGAAGGAAAGGCCACAAAATTAACTGCCACCGAAAGCCTATGTATGTAGACTTCGCTGATGTAGGATGGGACTCATGGATTCAGGCGCCTGTCGGGTACGACGCTTACTATTGTGAGGGGGGATGCCCCTATCCTTTGGCAGACCACTTGAATACAACGAATCACGCAATTATCCAGAACCTCGTGAATTCTGTTAACAAAGAAATGGTACCACCAGCATGCTGTGTGCCCACGGAGCTGTCATCCATCTCTCTCCTGTATAAGAATGAATACGATCAGGTTGTACTGAAAAACTACCAGGAAATGGTAGTGCAGGGTTGCGGGTGTCGTTGACTTTGGCACATTACAATAGCTTAGGATATTACATTCGTTTTTGCAATACAAGCCTGTGCCTTAGTCGATCGCCATTATACGCAAATGAGACTGTCTGTTCTCGTAGGTTGCGTCTTAAACAACCTCTTCTGACGCTTTTTCGCGTCTGAGATCGTCTTTACTGCGTAATTTACTTGTCGCAAGTGTTCATGTTGTGCCATATTCGCAGGAGGGGGTACCATTCGTGTTTAGTTGACTAATGCAGTGTCCAGTTGAGCTGACCGGTGGTTATGGCTAGTTTCTTTGACAATAAGAGTTCACATTTTATTCATCCTACATATAAATGTATAAAATTGGTTCTACGCTCTGATCCCCGTCTGTTTCCGTAAATATACTTTTGAATTATTTTGTTTGTACTTAAAGACGTTAAAATTTTAATATTGATTTTTTTTTGTTTTGTTGGGTATTTTGAACCTAGCGCTAAGAACTAAGAATCTTTCACAACTTAAAACCTCTTGTAGAATTTTTATAATCAATGGATGATAATTTTTCTTTTTGTATTATCATTTTCACCTAATTGTGAGCGGAGTGTCAACGTTTTGTCTTAGTTTTATCATTGGCCACAACAGTAATTTTAATTTGAAGATTCAACAATTCTTTTTTATACAAAATATTTCTAAAACTTGAATTATATGTTAAAGGTGTAAAGAAAAAATTTCAAAACAACAGATTATTTATGAGCGTCCTCTATTGGTACGCGTGTGTACTGAAACGGACGAGATTTTCACTAAATAAATAATTTACCTTCTACTCATGCTGTAACCAAGATCAAACAATCTTATCTGTGAGAATAAAGCCCACTAGTGTGGTGACTTTTCAGTTACTTGGCTAATTTATAAACATTTCCATGATGAAGCGTAAAAAGTACATTCCAAATTTAGCCACAAAGTTCTAAATTTAACCTGCCCATGTTTATTATAGCCGAAAGTTACTTGGATCTGTTGTTTGTCCAGTTTAATATTTGCTTCTTCTCTAAGCCTTCTTGACAATGGAGCCGCTTATTATATTCTGTAACTTTTCGGGCATTCCACCAATAAAATCAAAATTCATCACTTTCCGATACAGTAATTATACAAAATATTTTCCATTTGAGATTTTGCGCATTCTGAAAATATTGTATGATTTTACACATTTATGGCTGTGAAGTACTACTGCAGAAGCTATACAAAAAACAAAAGTATGAATTGACACCCTTCATCAGAAGAAAAATCACACCCACAGTAACTTCATTCAATATTTAACAGTGTTTTTGAGGCATACTTCACAGAACTGTAAGCTAAGTTGTAAATATGTACTTTCTGAAGAGACACTGTTTTCCAAAAGAACTAGTATAATTTTATACTAACCACAAAACAACATATGAATGTAACGATTTTTTGAAATCTTCACACCACTTAAGTCACTTCAGTTTTGACTATGTAATTCACGCTGTTCATACATAGTAGAAGGGTGAACTTTTATTTGTTGTACATTTACCACTTTAAACGTTTGAATAAGTGCGTTAAGGATCATATCAGTTCTTTAATGAGTATCTCATTACTGGATTTTAGTGTGTATTTGTGTTTACTTCGTCTGTCAAGGATTAATAAACATGATAGATAGTTCAAAGTTTTCTCACTAAATTATTAAGCACTAATTTATTAAAACGCAAATACTTTTACAACATTAAAAACTCAAACATAAAGTAGAAATTTAAAATAAGAAACACATATCGTAATAAAACATGAAATTCGTATTCTATTTTAGTGATAGATTATTATTTTTTGCTTTCAGAAGTGGTGAGAAACAATTTTCCGATAGTATATAAAATTTTGTTACGGTAATTAGAGATTTATAAGATCTGTGTTATTTGATGTCTCACTGTCAAATAAAATATTAGACTCGTGTTCTTTACCTTAACATGTGGTTGATCAAGATTTCTATTTTATTACCAGGAGTCGCATAATCTCATATCTGCTGTAACAAAGTTTAGTTTCATGAAACATAAACAGAGGGCAAATATTTATATATTTCCAAACAAATTCTGTAATTATATAAGATTTATAACACTTTACAATTGTAAAATAGAGCTTAAACAAAACTTTTGTTTACAACAAACTCAATAATTATGAATTAAAATAAAGGAACAGAATTTTTTATTATTGACCATACTATACGGACTTGATATTTGAATTTGAAAATCTGTAACATCGATACATTTACCAAGATGTGCATTTCAAATGATTTATTTAATGTTTAAATTATTTGTTTTATTATTCGTGTTTATGTTTTATCTAAACCTAGTTATAACGGTTTTTTAGGCCCCCCGGCGGCTCAGCGGCAAGACTGAGGGCTTATAACGCTAAAAATCAAATCTTGATACCCGCGGTAGGCAGAGCATAAATAGCCCATTGTGTAGCTTTGTGCTTAACAAAGAACAAACAAAACAGTTTTGTTATTATTTTGAATGGAATGTATAAAGATAAGGATTTGTAACTAAAGTATAATCAGGGTTGAGTTGTATGTGATAAATTACTCAATTTTAATAGGAATGTAATAAACCAATAATACAGGTATATATAAGCTAAAACTTTGGCCATATGTATTTTTGTATTTCCAACAACTGTGTCTGTGATCAAGTCTCTATGGTTTACTTGGTAACTAATTATATTTTTATATTCTTTTAAGTTCGCAGAATAAATATCTAACAAAGATTTGTAATAATGTATTGAGAACATAAGACTTGCACGGTCAGTGATTTTTACTGTTTTCTGTATCGTTTTTTTGTATTCCTAATTTAAGCATGAACGATAGAAAACCATTTTTTGCAGCCCCTTAATTACTATCAATATGTAAAGTGTTTTTTACAAAATACAAGAAAAAGAAACCCTACTGATTAATAAAACATATCATCAATATATGCAAATATGCTTTAGACCGTTTAGACTGATAATGTTTCATCATTAGATTAAGAACCTGTTAGTTGATATACACATGGATCAACATGTATTAACGTCAAACCAGCCTGTGCAAATTAATATTCCGTAAACTTAAACTTTGTAATGCAAAGTAATGTATTACTTTATATTACTGTTAAATATCTTTATTTCTTTATAATAACTTACACCAACAATATTTGTAAGTAACAATTAGTTAGAGGTTGAACGCTGAAGGTATCAATGGGAGATAAAAGTGTCTGTCGGCGTGAAATATTTATTAAACCCCTTTTAGTTTTATTATCTTTATCATGAAAGCATGAATTTATTGGAGTTTTAACGCTTCAGAGTTTTTATTTATTGTTTAACCTGTGAATGCTTTGTATATTGCTGTTTAAACCGTGGCATATGAAATATCAAAGAAAATATTTAAGACTTACTTGTAAATAGAATATGAGCTTTGTATATACAACACCCTGCTAATTACCCGTCCATAATGTAATGTATTCAATATTCCAGCCACGGAAAATTAAGTATTTTCGTCTTGAAAATAAAGCATCTCGTCAGAAATTGTAGTAGTTTCCGGTATGTGTTTGTTTTTTCCTTAAATAATCTTTGTTAGAAACTGAACTCATATCTACCATTTTTATGCATACATATACAGTTTACTCGGACATAATTTGCATCTCTACTATAAGAACCAGAATGGTTGTTAGGGTGGACACCTTTTAGTTGATATTATGATAAAGTTATTATCTGTACGATGGCTAACGGTAAGGAATTAAAATTAAACTAGGGTAAACAGACACTGAATAAAAATAGTAATATGTTTTTGTGTACTTCTTAGCCACTCGTAACAAATAATATAATTTATAATAGCCATAATATTTGATTAAAAGTGAATGTTCTTGTTATATAGTTAGTAAAGAATATGATTCATTTCCATTAGTTGGGAATTCAAAGTATCACCTGGATATTATAAAAAAAAACAACTAAAAGTAGTACAGTGAAGATTTGCACTAGCGGATGTGTAAGCTTTTACGAAATTCATATCTTCACTGATGTAATCGTTAGTTGACGGCAATAAACTTTCAAGAGTTGTGTTTCAAAAATGTACAGCGATAAAATAATTTTATTTTCATTTACGTTCTTCTACAATAAACGGTAACTGATGGAAAGAATCCTGAGGAATTACCAAGTGCCAAATAATATTATTTTTACAACAGCGGAAGTCACGTGATGCTGGGAGCATGCGTGACTGAGTTTCTCGAATTATCAGGGAAGTTCGAGTGTGATCTATATACGCCTCTTTATTAGTATATAAACCTGGCAGAGAAAAGCCGGGGACGGATAATAAAGCGAACAGTAGTCACGGTGAGTTTCGGGTAATTTATGATTCTGTTTGAACTTGTGTGTGTTTTGCACTCGTAGAGAGCGAAATTATCGAGATTGCGAATCGCTGTGATTTATAGCGTATATTATAAAAGTTGTTAAGTTTAAAGTGACGAGAAAAGTACTGACTGTAGAATTATTATGTACTAAAAGTTTGTATCGAGAAAGAATAAACTGGTTTAATCAAGAAAGGAC